CCCCGCCCCGCCAGGCCGCGGGGACGCACGCGGCCGGGTCCGGCGTCCCCCCATGGCTACCCCTGGAGGCGCCCTGGCCTGCGGTCGCCGCGCTCAGAGCCTCCACCGTGCTTTCCACCTGCTGGGACGGGGCAAGGGCGCAGGACCTCGGCTTGGAGCCAGCGAACTTTGGGGCCCCCCGGGCTCCAGCCATTGAGGTTGCGTCCTTTGGGGAAGCCATGGGCTGCTAGGGGCTCCCTGCCCCCGTTCCTACTTCCATCCCAGGACACCCATCTCCAAGTTCTCTCCGGAGCCTGGCCTCTCTGGCTGCTGACCCTTGGCCCGCTAGCCCTGGAGGGCCATGGGCGTTTTCACAGGCCGCCAAGTTCCTCTCAGGGACACCTGGCCACCCTACAGACCTCAGTATTTATACCACCTCCTTTCTGCACTGAACTAGATGGCACTCTCACTTCAGAATTTTTCGACAGGGCAGGAAAAAAGATTAAAGTTAAAGCAAGCAACCAGCCAGGGCAGGAGTGAATGAGGTTGAGGTTAAGATCACGAAAATCCTCTGGGAGAGGGGTATAGACTACGGAATGGCATAAAATGAGGGTAAAGCCAGGCATACTCCAAAATGTTGAGTCACTGCAACCCTCTTGCACTCTAGGGGACATGGATAAAAGGCTCCCCTTGTCCAGGTTCGGGTATGCAGTGAAACACCAAGGTCTCCTTGGTAGCTTGGGGCCTTGGACAAGTCTGCTGTAGACCTCCCCCCCCACACACACACACACATACCTGGCCCTCCGGGTGCTCCATTCCAGCAGATGACAAATACAACACCTTGTGAAGCCTAGATACCCAGTGAGCCCAGGTTTTCCCTTCTCTCCCTCCCCAGCTGGAAGCCCATTTTTACATACACAGCAGAATCCGAAACAATGGATATATACTGTATTTAAACAGTAGTAACAATCTCTCCATTCTATTTCTTCTTTTTCTGGTAATAGGGGAGGGCAGGTAGAAAGATCTCTCCAAGGTTGCTCCAAAGCCCTCGGGAGTGAATGTTCCTATAGACTTTGGGATCTGCTGATTGGGATCTGGCCACAAGAGGGCAGTGTTGACACCAGGTCCAGTCACCTCTGTACCACTCATTGGTGGTCTGATTGGTGGCAGCCAAGTATATCACAAAGCACAAATAGCCCCCTAGGAGGAAGCTCAGCACCAGGACGAAGCCCAGCAAGAAAACGATCCTTGGAAAGCTCAGGAACAGGTACTAGAGGCAAAGAAAACACACAGGTTAGGAAGTGGACCCACAGGGGCAGCACCCACCAGCCCCAATCCTGCCCCCTCCAAAAAAAAGTCTCATGGACTTTCCTGCCAGAGATGGCTTTGAACCATGGTCCTCAGATCTCAGCCTTCTGAGTAGCTAGGATTACAGGCATGAACCACTGCTGCCTAGCAACTTCTCTCCTTTTTCTTTTTCTTTTTTTTGGGGTTCCGGCCATGGGGCCTGAACTCTGGGCCTGGGCGCTGTCCCTCAGCTCTTCAGCTCAAGGCTAGCGCTCTACCACTTGAGCCACAGCGCCACTTCCGGCTTTTTTCTTATGTGGTGCTGAGGAATGGAACCCAGGGCCTCAGGCATGCAAGGCAAGCGCTCTACCACTGAGCCACCTTCCCAGCCCTTTTTTTTGTTTGTTTGTTTTTGTATTTGTGCTAGTCCTGGGACTTAAAGGCCTGGGTGCTGTCCCTGAGCTTCTTTTGCTCAAGGCTAGCACTTTATTATTTGAGCTGTAGCTCCACTTCCCTTCTCTCCTTTTTGAGACAGTCTAACTGGGTGTCCCAGGCTGACCTGGAACCAGTGACCATCATAGCTCAGCCTCCCCAAATGCCAGAGTGACAGCCTAAACCACCACACTTAGTCCCAACTGTCTCCAGAATGGCTATCATGCTAGCACTATCCGTAGTGCAACGTGAATCTGCCTGCCAACATGTAGAATTCTAAGCCCCAGGTCTGTCAAAAAAAAAAAAAAAGAAAGAAAAGAACTTTGTGCTATGGAGTTTTTAAGCATGGGGGGGAAGGGAATGGGAAGGTAGCTCAGTGGTACAGTGCTTCCCTTGCATGCATAAGGCACTGGGTTCAATTCCTCAGCACCAAATAAACAGAAAAAATCGGAAGTATTGCTGTGGCTCAAGTCCTAGGGTATTAGCCTTGAGCTGAAGAGCTGAGCCCAGGCCGAGTTCAGGTCCCATGACCAACCAAAAAAACATTTTTGGGGGGGACTGGGAATTGAACTTGGGTCCTTATACTTGCTAGACAGCGGCTTTACCCTTGACCCATTGCCCCTTTTCTTTTGTTTTTAGTTTCCTTTTAAAATAAGATCTTGTCATTCTCATAGCTGGCCTCGACAGTATTTTTTCTATTATGTCTTTGGTGTAGTTGGTGTATACCTATATACCACCATTATGTCACACAGCTTTTATAGTTTTGACACTGAACTGTAGTTGTACGAGACATTAGCGTGTGAGAACATAGAAATGTGTGAGCCTGCGTTGGGAATGAGGCTCAGTGGTAGAGTGTTTGCCTAGCATGCACAAGCCCTGGTTTTGAAACCTCAGTACCACATAAACAGAAAAAGGTGGAAATGGTGTTGTGGCTCAAGAAGTAGAGTGCTCGCCTTGAGCATAAGAAGCTGAAGGACAGTGCCCAGGCCCTGAGTTCAAGCCATAGGACTGGGAAAAAAAAAAAAAAAAAAGAAGTATGTGAGCCTTCCTGCATGCTTCTTTAAATATATATTTACTTTCAAATAAGAGATGAAAAGATATTAGCTTTAGGACTAAATGATGTGTGTATGTGTGTAATCATGTGTTTTTTTTGTCTGTGGGTCGTGGGGCTTGAACTCTGGGCCTGGGCGCTGTCCCTCAACTCTTCAGCTCAAGGTTAGCAATCTACCACTTGAGCTACAGCACCACTTCCGGTTTTCTGGTGGTTAACTGGAGATAAGAGTCTCATAGACTTTCCTGCCCAGGCTGGCTTTGAACCATGATCCTCAGATCTCAGCCTCGTGAGTAGCTAGGATTACAGGTGCGAGCCACCAGCGCCCAGCTGTAATCATGCTAAGAAAAGAAAATAGCCCTCGGCTGAGGGCAGGTTGGAGGAAAAAAGACTCAGTCTCAAAAAAGAAAAAAGTAAAAAAGTAAATGAATAGCAGGGGTGCTGGTGGCTCACACCTGTAATCCTAGCTACTCAAGAGGATGAAATGTGAGGATCTCCGTTGAAAGACAGCCCGGGCAGCAAAATCCGTGAGACTTTTATCTCCAATAAACCACTCAGAAAACCGGAAGTGCACTGTGGTTCAAAGTGGTAAAGCCCTCGCTGTGAGCAGAAGAGCTGAGGGACAGTGCCCAGGTCCAGAGTTCAAGCTCAGAGATATTACCCAGGCCCAGAGTTCAAGCCCAAAGACAAGCAATAATAATGACAATGATGATGACGAAATAAATGAATGTTTTTAAAAGCCAGAAGTGGAACTGTGGCTTGGGTAATAAAACACCAGCTTTGCCGGGTGCCGGTGGCTCACGCATGTAATCCTAGCTACTCAGGAGGCTAAGATCTGAGAATCCTGGTTCAAAACCAGCCCAGGCAGGAAACTCAGTGAAACTCTTATCTCTAATAAACTGCTAGAAAACCAGAAGTGGCACTGTGGCTCAAGCAGTAGAGTGCTCGCCTTGAGCTGAAGAGCTGAGGGACAACGCCCAGGCCCAGAGTTCAAGCCCCATGACCAACCAAAAAAAAAGTAGGACAGCAGCTTTGAGCCAAAAAGGGACAGATAGCACTCTTCAAGTCCCAGAACCCACACACACAAAAAAAGGAAAAGCATCATATATTTACAAGAGAGTAAACATCTTTTATCACATTCTGAAACCTGAAGTCCTCTGTATCATTACCTGAATAATCAAGACAAAGTCCATCTCCTGGAGGCGTCCAAGGTCATCAAGGTACATTTCTTGGTACAGATCGGACACCATCACCAGGTGGACCAGAAATGCAGCACTCACGGCAGCTATGGTGGCAGTAGACACCGTCAGCGTCGAGAGGTAGGTGAGGAAGTACCTGGTGTTCCAGGCGCCAATGCAGTTATTCACCCAGACACAGTGATGGTCAAAGCGGTGCACACACCTGTCGCACACACCTGCGAGAGGAGGGGGCAGCAGGCCAGGTGTTTCCAGGGCAAGATGATGGCTCCTGCACATCTGCTGAGGTTTCTACACACTCATCATGGGGGGACTGGGGAGAGCAGGTAGCAGTGACTGTGGGCAAGTTTAAGAACTGCCACTATGGGCCACATGAGGTTATTACTGAACTATGGCCACAGGAGAAAACTTAACGCTGACAGGTGTGTTTCAATTCATGTACCACCCTCTGAATCAGTACATATAATACCAAAGTGACCCAGAGTTAGTGACTGACTCAACGTGGGTCTAATCGGTTCTTCTGAAAAGTGAACTGTGGTCATTGTAGACATGAGGAGTGAGGAGAAATGTGTGATCAATTCAGTTAGTGGAAAGCTTTTTTTTTTTTTTT